TTTTTTTTCCCAAAAAAAAAAAAAAAAAAAAACCTAAATCCACCCTTATTAAAAAAAATTCATAAAAATGTTCTCGTAAAATATTGTGATCGTACTTAGCAAATATGGATAATTCTTTTGGAATTATTTTCATTCTCATTGTGTCACGTGTTTCTTTTTTTGTTATCATTATCCCACAAATTGGTTATTTTAATTTATCATTCCTTTTAATTATATTCTTAATTTTACTATATTTTAAATTAAATTCAATAGTAACTAATCTCAAAAAAAAAATTAATCATCTCAAACTACCCTCTTTTTATTGATAAATATATAATAGTTATATTTAATGAGAGTATTTTATGAGTTATTCTTTAAATAAAGTATTTTTAAGAAGTTTTCTTCAATGAAAATATTATTAAAAAATTTTCTTAACCTTTTATATTTATATTTTGTGTATTGTTTACTTTTAAAAAAATATATTAATAGTTAAAAAATAATATTTTATCATAATATAAATAATTTATCATAAATTTAAAATATTGTTTATAAATTCAAAAATACTTATTTATTATAAATTTTAATTATATAAAATAAATATTAATCGTGTATATTATAAGTGCTAAAATATTAGTTACATATAAACAGAAATAAATAATTATTAGTTGGCTTCATGCTTGGCAAATACCGAAATTTGACTTTGCGTTGACCAACAAAACTACGACATTTCACATGCTGGTCCTAATTTAGAACACGTTACGGCATTCTTCTAACATAACTATATTCTAACTAAGGACTAAATACAAGTTTGAAGAGAGTTACTGTTAGACTTAATTCTGTTTTGTGCTTAATTTTTTTTTTTTTTGTGAATTTTGCTCTCATGTATTTTTATTTTATTTTATATAAATTATGCTTCAAATTTTAAAATTTTGGTGATTTATGTTACTTTGACAAATTTTCACTAAAATATTGATGGAGTACTGACATAATATGTTTGATATGAATTAACTTAATAGCATTATTACATGTTTGAATAAGATTTAAATTACACATTTTGTCCTTGAACATTTGATTTTTTGGCAAATTTTGTCCTCGAATATTTTCACACAATTTATTCTTCCAAATTTTTAGATTTTGGCAATTCATGTTTTTTTTGTCAATTGTTCATTAAAATACTAACAAGAGTCTATTATGATAGTACTAAAGGATTAATATATTCACTACAAGGTCCAATTTCAAGACCTAACCATTACTAAATTATGGAGTGCAAACATACAATCCAACATTTACTTTAAGTGTAAAAATACATACATGTTAAGTTTACATAAACAGTACTTGCTTTCATAAATGTGTGAACCGATGATTAGGTACTTATAGGTATATCTTAAGCACGTTACTTTTACTCTTAGATTAATGTGAGATATACAATATCTATACATTAAAAAAAATAACAATTAATTATTACACTAGTTGTTTAAAAGTCCATGTATTGAAGTGCTACAATTTAATTACAAAATAAAATCATATAATTTGTATCATTTGGACAATTCATCCATTTTTTTTATGTACTCTCAGAAGAAGAAGAAGTATCATATTTTATAAGATAGAATCAATAACTTCAACTAATTAATTTTATTATAATTAATCAAACAATATTATTCTAATAAAGTCATAACTAATTAAATAAGTAAAAAGCTTATCACAAAGTTATTTGACCTAACAACAACTTGTTATAAGAAAGGTTCAAAACAAAAAAGTTAGCAAGAATGACAATAGCATTTGTGTCAATCTGTTCATATGGGAGTATATACATGATTTCTAAAAATTAAAAGGTATATAAAAAGGTCACAATTATATTAAATCAAATCATCATTTTATATAACATTAGAGCAAATATAATTTACTATATCTAACTTTGCAAGTATCTCAAATAATTACTCATAAAAGTGACATTAAGACATTTTTCTTCTACATCTAGACTCATTACAATAGCATAAATTATGGACACTTTGTGAGTACTTTGATGAACAATTGACAAAAAGACACAAATCTCCATAATTTAAAAGTTGTAAAGACATAAATCATGAGAAAATTACTTGAGAAGAAAATTTGCCAAAAAAAAAAGTTTGAAGCACAAAATGCAATTACACCTCTTCTTAATCATGTTATGTCATCTTTTTGTTAGTATTTTGATGGATAATTAACTAAAAGGTACAAATCACAAAAATCTAAAATATTAAGAACATAATTTGTGAGAAAAAAAATTGGGGAAAATTTTGTCAAAAAATAAAGTTTGGAAGCACAATCGTGCAATTAAACCTTATTATTGTTGTTTCACAAAAAAAAAAAAAAAAAAAAAAAAAAAGCTCCTAACGATTAATGTGTTTGATTTGGTGGTAAAAACATAATAGACGTATGGTAAGCTGAGTCAAACTTTATTTGACTAGAAATAATGATGGTTTGTTCATAAATAAAATGATAGTGGGTGAAAAAGTAGTCACGACCGATGAGATTGAATCAATAAGATGTTGCTTTTACTTAATCTTAAATCAAATTTCAACATTTGGTTAATAAATAAAATGATATGATTGAAAAAGTCTCAGCGGGATTGAATAAACAAGTTAATCTTACTTCATCAAAAATCAATTTTAAACTTTTATTGTATTTTTTTTCTGCTCATTTATCTCCATCCTCACCTTTTAAAATGTATTTCGATAATTATACATTAAAAATTAATTCTGGTTTTAATTTAATTAATATATCATAAAAATTAACAAATTATTAATCCAAATAGAACCACACTTATTTCTTTTAAGTAATATTTCAATTTCAAGTTCAAATCTTATATATAAAAAGTAAAAATAGTGAAGATCATATTAGAACACTACAACAAAATTATTATACAATAACACATACCCTATAGTAACACTATATATGTCATTAAAAATTATTTTTACCCACACAATAACTACAATATATGTTGGTATATTATTAAAAAAGTGTGGATCTTGTAACGACCCGACTGGTCACTACACACGGCACCGCACACTAGAAACATTGCGCAGAAAAGAACACGTGTATACATATAGAGTCTAGAATATACATATACATGATCCAATCTGAAACAGAGTTAAAGTGTACCAAAAAGAGAATACAATCAAATGCTACTATCCCAAGTAGCTCAACGACAAAATAGTCACAAAAGAAAGTCAGCTCCGCCGGTCCACTGAAGACTCACCATTAGTCACCCACCTATCCCTGCTCTGCTCCCATACATAGTATGATCATTGCAGTCCAAACATCATGAAAACAACAAGGGTAAGCTAGAGTAATTAAAAAATCAACATATAAATGTATAGCAATATGATAAACAACAGCTACAGTTATCAGTACACCTGTACAGCTTATGCTACTCAACAATATCAGCACCGCAATGTGGTAATATCAGCACTGCTTAGCAGCAATAACAGCACCACTCAAGTGGCTATAACAGCACCGCAAAGCGGCAACAACAGCACCGACTTAGCGGCTATAACAGCACCACGTATGTGGCTAATAACAGCACTGACTTAGCGGCTATAATATCACACAACTCCGCACAACACAGCACAGCACAACACAACACAGCTTATTATTCAGAATTCAGCCCAACCTTCTATAGTTCCACATATGTTGCAAACTCGCCCAGCGCACACAGCTTTGCGCCCGGCGGGCTTGCCTAAACAATCCCCTGGTGGTCACGCGCCCGGCGCGAAGAACAGTGCCCAGCGCGAATTCATCAATAACTCTCCCCAAGTTCGAAAATCTTCCAAATCCTGCAAAACTTAACAGCAAAACCACATGCAATCCAGCCAAAAGTTCCCATTCTCATCAAATATCAATAAAAACGCCTCATTTTCAACATGCAAACACAAATCAAGGATTTTCCCAAAATTTCTCCAAAAACCCGAAAAACCCCAAATCAACAATTTCTATAGTTCTCAGCTCAAATGCAGCAAACATCCTACCACCAAAGAGTTCTTAGAACTCGTGTTCAACCAAACAAAGCAAAGGACTAGCTTCCCTTACCTTAAATCAAGAAATTCGAGCTCTGGGAATACTAAGATATATGAACGAGAAGGAGAAAACTTGAACAAACGGCAAGGAGCAAGCTTGAATGACTACGGAGAAGAAGAAATTCGAACCACCTAGTCAGCACTACCTATTGTTCCAAAGAAAACCAAGTGTAAGGAGAGTGAAAGAAGAATTGAGAGAGAGCTAGAGGAAGGTGCTTCAGCCAAGTGAGAATAATAAATGATAAGGGTAAAATGGAGAGAGGAAAAAGGTTATGGGTCTCACAACCTCCCCAACAACAGAAGTTTTCGTCCCCGAAAACAGACTTACTTGAGAATAGGAACGGATACCGTTCCCTGCACT